AATTCTCTGCAGATAACAGCCAAAACGAGTCATACTTACCCAACAGGGATGATGATGATGCAACCTGCGAAAATTTTAGAGCTTCCCTTAATGATGTAGTTGGGGTTTTTCTATGCTTTTGCTCCTTTGGCTAGTCAGAGGTTGGTGCCTCATCTTCATTAGTAAGAAAGGCTACAACATCAACAATAATGTACCAAGTATCAAGATAGTATCTTCTATTGTTTCACTTGAGCCTTGCTCTTTGTTGAATTGAAGAAACCATTTGACAAAGCATATTCATCTTTTTGGCATGGTTCAATAAAATTATATTCGACTTGATATTGGAAAGCATTTATTATTCATAGGTTGTTATCTAAGAAGCATATGGAACACTAGTAGCACACGATGCGGATATAGTGATGTGGCAAAACCTAAAAAATAGGATACGAATATGATAAAGATATGTTTGTAATAAAATATTTTTGATATTTTTTACTATTATCTGATGACTTAATAATATTTTTTTGTTATTCTTCAACAATTATACAAAAAAATAGTAATTTTTAATTAAAAAATTTTTTACATCGTCCTATTTCGTTATATCAACAAAGTGAATGTGACTAATTCAAGGAGTCAAAATCAACATTTTTAGTTGGTCTGCTTACAAGTACTTCTTGACGAGATATGATGTAATTAACTCATATTATGCTCTTTTGACAAGTGAAAGTAGATAATATTTAAGAAACACCTACGTGTCTTCAAAGTATACTTTATGTGTTGCATTGTATTGGTAGAAATGAGTAAAGATTGAAATTAGAAACTATGCATATTGCTTTAGGTATGGACTTCCATATCCGAAGCAAATTCATTATGGATGCATATCCACTAAATATCCAAATATTTTATTTATTATTGGATACATATGTCACATATCCATTACGCATCCTTGAGTATCCAATGAGTGTTGTATCGAATACATTTTCGGATATAGATACATCTACCTTAACGAAATATCACTGTTTCATAGTTTATTATTGTAAGAAGGTGACATTTGTGAGGAGTTTTTCTTCTTTTTTGTTTTTCCTAATTTTCCAATTTTTATTGAATAAATTTCAACTTTTACAGCCTCAAGCGAGAGAAAAAGCTGAAAAGGAGGGATTTGAAATTAGTGTTGCTAAGACTAGTTTCAAGGCTAACACAAAGGCCCTCGCTGAAAATGAAGGGGAGGGACTTGCTAAGGTGATATATATTTCCTTTCACGTTGAATAGTTCTTTTTATTTCGTTTGGAATGCAACAAGTTTTCTTCCTGGTCAACACTAGGATTATGTATTGTGTTCATTGAAGTATATTGTTTTAATGCAGTTGATTTACAGACCCGACAGTGGAGAGATCCTTGGTGTTCATATATTCGGATTGCATGCTGCAGACCTCATTCATGAAGCGTCCAATGCAATAGCTATGGGCTCTCGTATACAGGTCTAGTTTGAATTGACATGTTTGAACACATTAACTACTATCAGTTTCGTGTAGCAACCTTCATCTTGAACATGAAACGGAAGGTTGTAAGTTGTTAACCTGAGCCACAAGAATATATGCATTCCATTTTGGAACTTCTCCAACATAAGTGATTTATTTTTAAGAGGACTACGAACT